CCAAGTGCAAGAATTGCGCAATAAAATTGTATTTACTGTTGATTTCAAATGAGCATAATATTATCTGTGTACTGTCTAGAGCCGTGAAACCTTTCATTCTAGGACAACTTTTTGTGTTGATTTCAGTTCTGCAGTCTGTTAAAGGGATAAATTGTTTAATTAGTAAGATATTATGCCCCAAAAATGGCCCAAGTGCAAGAATTGTGCAATAAAATTGTGTTACGATTGATTTCAAATGAGCATAATATTATCTGTGAACAGTCTAGAGCCATGAAACCTTTCATACCAAGACAACTTTTTGTGCTGATTGCAGTTATGCAGTTTGTTAAAGGGATGCATTGTTTAATTAGTAAGATATTTTGCCCCAAAAAATGACCCAAGCGCAAAATTGCACTATAACATTGTGCGACTATTTTGATATTTAAAATGAGTATAACATTAACAGTGTACAGTTCAGAACTCTTATACACAGAACCATGTAACCTTAACTTCTAGTACATATTTGTACACTTATTTAATTCATGCAGTTTGTTAAGGGATACAGTCTTTTATCTTACTAACTAATAGTTAGTAAGATAGTTTGCCCCAAAAATAGCCCAAGTGCAACAATCGAGCAATAACATTGTGTGACATTTAATTTAAATGAGCATACATTTTACATTGTACTGTCTAGAGCCATGAAACTTTTACTTCAAAAACAACCTTTTGTGCTTATTTCAGTCATGCACTCTGGTGGTAAGGGACACAATGTTTAATCATTAAGATATTGGGCCCCCAAAAGTGGCTCTTGTGCGAGAATGGTGAAAAGCACTGTTATTTCACAATTCTGGGGTCGGTACAATATCTTACTAGTTAAAGACTGTGTTCCTTACCAGACTACGTGACTGAAATAAGCACAAAAGTTTTTCTAGAATTAAAGGTTTTATGGCTATAGGCAGTAGTACACTGATAATATTGTGCTCATATTTAAAATATATGTTGTCTCTTATTCACATCTAGATGTGTATAAGAGACAGCTACATTGCTACAGCCCTCACAGATGTCATGAATTAAATAAGCATACAAATGTGTACTAGAATATAGGTTTCATGGTTCTAAACAGAACACTGTTAATGTTATGCTCATTTGAAATATATCAATATATAGTCGCACAATGTTATTGCGCAATTTTAGCACTTGGGCCATATTTGAGGCAAAATATCTTACTAATTAAACAATGCATCCCTTTAACAGACTGCATGCCTGAAATCAGCACAAAAAGTTGTCCTAGAATGGAAGGGTTTCATGGCTGTCTAGACAGTACATGGATAATATCATGCTCATTTGAAATCAATAATATAGTAAACACAATTTTATTGCACAATCTTGCACTTGGGTCATTTTTGGGGCAAAATATCTTACTAATTAAACAATGCATCCCTTTAACAAACTGCATAACTGCAATCAGCACAAAAAGTTGTCTTAGAATGAAAGGTTTCATGGCTCTAGACCGTTCACAGATAATATTATGCTCATTTGAAATCAATCGTAACACAATTTTATTGAACAATTCTTGCACTTGGGCCATTTTTGTGGCATAATATCTTACTAATTAAACAATTTATCCCTTTAACAGACTGCATAACTGAAATCAACACAAAAAGTTGTCCTAGAATAAAAGGTTTCACGGCTCTAGACAGTACACAGATAATATTATGCTCATTTGAAATCAACAGTAAATACAATTATATTGTGCAATTCTTGCACTTGGGCCATTTTTGGGGGGACATACCTTACTAATGAAACACTATATCCCTTAACGAACTGCATGCCTGAAAAAAGCACATAAAGTTGTTTTAGAATTATAAGTTTCAAGGGTCTAGGCAGATTATTTTTAATATTATCGTTATTCAAAAATTAATTTTATCACATTTACGCACTGATACTGTCACAAATTGTAAAATATACCCCTTTTCAAATCGCTTTTTAAACATGAAGGGATAAAGACACCAAGCTGATATTTGGAACATCTGATCATCATATATAAATTAATTAATGGTGCAAGTTTTACCAACAAGCGTACTTGCCCACAGGGTCAAAGGTCACCATGAAAACGAGGCATTTTTGTGCATTTTTTGTCCTGAATGACCTTTTGACCTACAATTACCCCCTAAAATGATAAGTTAAAAATCCGGAATTTTTTGTGGTGAAACATTTCCAACTATATATTAATAATTTGTTGCATAAGACCCATTTAATAACTGATTTGGGTATTTTAATGGGGGCTAAAAATGGAAGAAAAATTACGCAACCAAATAAGTTAGGGTGTTTACGAAACAATATTTTCGTAACGGGATCTGGTATACCAAAAGTCATGTCATATTCCTGTTCTACAGCCAAAAGTTAGTCTAGATATCAATTTTCAGTTAATTATCTTTATTCTATTTGA